CTGGAGCAAGAAAGAGCGGCAGAGGGGGGGGCGAGGGGCAGTGCGGTAGGGAAAGAGACGGTAAAAGGGGACTGACTCGTCAAAGGTGACGTCCTGAGACGCAAAGACACGGCGCGAGGCGGGGTCGTAGAACTGCCAGCCAGGCGCGTCAGTAGGAAAACCAAGGAAGACGCAGGGAATGGCGCGAGCGGAGAGCTTGTCCGCGGTGGTATCGCGGACAAAGGCACGAGCACCCCAGACCCGGAAGCGCGACGCATCGCCAATCTCCCCCGTCCACAGCAGAGTGGGCGAGGTCTCCGGAAAGGAGACACGGGGCCAGAGGTTGAGCTGATGTGCGGCGTACCGGACCGCAAACGGCCACAGAAAATGGGGGGCAGCTGCATGGATCATGGAGGTGCGAGCGACCTCCATGACCAAGCCAATGCGGCGCTCAGCAACCCCATTCTGCTGCGGAGAGGCCGGAAGCGTGAACGACTGGCGGATGCCGTGCTCCTCACAGAAGGCTCGCAAGAGGTCGGAGGAAAACTCACCACCTCTGTCAGAGTGCAGACGCAGGACGGGAAAGTCCGACTGGAACCGCTCGCGGAGCTGGAGACGAGTAGCGCGGATCCAGGGGATCAAAACAGCAGGGACGTCTCCCTTGCTGCGCAAGGGGAAGACCGTGGTGTAACGCGAGTAGTCGTCGACAACCAGCAGGAAGTACCGCTCACGGCCCTGTCCCTGGACGCGGGCCGGGCCCCACACGTCCAGGTGAAGAGTCTGCAGCGGAGCCTCTGTGGGAGGGAACGAGGAGGAGTGAGGAGCGGCGCGCTGCCGCCCCTCGATGCAAGGAATGCAGGGCGGCGCAGGCGAGGGAGGGAGGGCAGGCAAAGACCTGGGAAGACCAGAGACAAGTAGGCGAGAGTGCATGCTACGAAGGCGGGGCAGGGAGGGGTGACCAAGGCGGTGGTGCCACAGGAGAGTGTCGTGCGACAGGCGGCGACACTCACACTGGGTAGCTACCTGAGTGGACGCGTACAGCTGTGGAGACAAAGGGGTGTAGCGTGAGACAGTGGTGAGGGTGTAGAGACTGGACCCGGGCTCACGAGTGAACGTGGCCAGGTGGCGGCCAGTCTTGGAGCACGTGCAGATCGCCACACGCTGTCCTCCAGGAGTCCAGGTGTCAACCCAGTGATCCTGAAGGACGGCGTTGCTCACCAGGTTCGTAGAGAACGTGGGAAGGTGGAGACCAGACAGCTCACCGGACGGGACCGCCGGACACGGGAGCACAGTGGAGGAACGAGCAAGCACTGGGCCCCCAGAGGGGTCAGCCAGTGAGACAGGGACAGGCGCAGGAAGGGGAGTGACAGTGGTACTGTCGCGAAAGAAACAGCGAGAAGCACCAGAGTCAAGTGTAAAAGTGTGCAAGGCCTGTGCCGACTTAGTACCAGGGGGGGCAGACTCACGAGCACCAAGAGGAGCAACCTCTATACCGGGGTTAGGGGGAAAGCACAAGTAGCAGTCACCCTCAGCACTAACAGTCAATGCATACATGGCAGCAAGAATCTTATCATAGTCCAGATCAAAGATAGGAACCTCACGTCTCATCAGGTCTGCCCACTTGGGCAGTTCAGTCGCATCAGGGAACCTGGCACGCCAGGCGTCGCTAAGACGAGAGAAGCAGGGGGAGGTAGTGTGAAAGCCGTTGCATGTGCGACCAGTGAGGGGACCTGTGCGAATGATATAGGGGCAGCGAACAGGACCCCCAAGCGCCCCACGCTGAGCGTACCAGTCATGGAGCTGCTGGGGCGTGGGGGTCTCGCGCTGCTGCTGCTGCTGCTGCTGTTGCGGCTGCTGCTGCTGCTGCTGCTGCTGCTGCTGCTGCCCCTGGCCACCACCAAAACTCCAGCCCCCACCACCGCCGCCACCACTGCTCCCTCCTTCCCCACTGCCGCCGCTGCCACCTCCACTGCTACCGCCACCGCCGCCACTCCCCCCACCGCCTCCACCCGCACCACCGCCCCCACCTCCTCCTCTGCCACCACCTCCACCACCCCGACCACCCTTGCCCTTGGCGCTGCGGCGCTTCCCACTAGGAGCGGAAGCCGCCCCGACCTCCTCAGCACGCAAGAAGTCGACTGCAGCAGCAACAGAGGCATGAGAGGAGGCGAGGGGGGAGGGGGAGCACCCCTCAAAGATGGAGGTGCGGGGAGTGCCTCGAGCAGCACTGACAGCGAAAATGCTCTTCTCCGCTGCCAGAAGTTGCTTCTCGAAATCGTCTATGGTGAGGGTAGAGGGGTCGAGGGCAAGGAAGTGGTCCCTGACCGAGTGAAGGGAGTCAGGGAGGAGGGTGACGAGGAAGTAAAGGGTGAAGTACATCGGGGGGTGGTTCTGCGCGAGAAACTCGTCTGAGAGTGCAGCACGGAAGCGAAGGTCACTAGCACGCAGGTGAGAGATCAGATCCTCAACAGTGGAAAACGAGGACAGATCGGGGAACAGGTAGGGCAGCATAAGACGGCCGAGGGCTGCTGTGGCGGGAGAAGAATTGCGCGCAACTACTGCGTCGTACAGCGCCTTAGCGGTCTTGTGCTGGCTAAAGTGGCGCGCTCGGAGATCGGCAGGTGGTTGCGAATCGCTAGGCGGGCTACAGCGTCACGGGTCTGCCAGCTAGAGCGAGCGAGTGCGTCAGCGGTATCAGCAGGGGCAGCAGAGGCGCCAGAGGCAAAGTCAAACAAGGAGACGCCGCCTTTGGAATCAGTCAGCAGGAAAAGCTGTAAGCCCTCTAGCCAGGTAGCGAACTCGATCGGGCGGCCATCAGGCTCAAATTCTAGGACGTGAGGAGTCGTTATCGGCACAGCGAAGGGAAGCCGAGGCAGCAGGCAGGCAGGGGCCGGGTGCGGGCTAGGGCACGGGCGTAGGGCGACGCGGCAGGCAGGCAGGGGGCCGGGCGCGGGTATAGGGCGACGCGGCAGGCAGGTGGGGGGGCCGGGCGCGGGTGTAGGGCGACGCGACAGGCAGGCAGGGGGGAGCCGGGCGCGGGCTTATGGGCGACGCGACGGGCAGTTAGGCGGCCGGGCGCGGGCTTTAGGGCGACGCGACGAGTTGGCAGGTGGCCGGGGCGGGCTTTAGGGCAACGCGATGGGCAGGCGGGCGGGGCCGGGCGCGGGCTTGGGGCAACGCGACGGGCAGGCAGGGGCCCAGGCGCGGGCTTGGGGCAACGCGACGGGCAGGCAGGGGGCCGGGCGCGGGCTTTGGGCGACGCGACGGGCAGACAGGGGGCCAGGCGCGGGCTTGGGGCAACGCGACGGGCAGGCAGGGGGCCAGGCGCGGGCTTGGGGCAACGCGACGGGCAGGCAGGGGGTCGGGCGTGTGCTTAGGGTGACGCGACGGGCAGGCACGGGGCAGGCGCGGGCCTTAGGGCAACGCGACGGGCAGGCGGGGTCCAGGCGTGGGCTTGGGGCAACGCGACGGGCAAGCGGGTGGGGCCGGGCGCGGGCTTAGGGCGACGCGACGAGCAGGCAAGGCAGGCGCGGGTCTTAGGGGCGGCGCGACAGGCAGGCAAGGCAGGGCGCGTGTGGGGCAGTGCGGTAACCGCAGGCAGGCAGGCGTTCGGTGGGCCCAGGAAAAAATAATCCGGTCCTAATGGACCTACCGCTGTGAAACCATGTTGAAAATAGCAGACAAGAATGATGCATTGAAATGAGAGTTGGGTACAAGTATCAAACCCTAGAGGGGTTGTACCCCATATTGGCTACCCCACTACAGCCTACACATATATATCACATATATAATTTGACACGCATCACTCATGTCGTCCACTTGGTCCGCCAAGTTGCAGAATGTGCTGGTGTAGTCTTTGACCGAAAGCAGCTGCTTCCAGGCACGCAGCTTCATGCGAGCAGAGTTCGAGGCAGATATGTGCTCGAACCTGGTTTGCAGGGCGGCGCCCCACTCCTTCCATGTGCGTATCGCAGCCGTCCCGAAAATCGAAGCTGCTCGTTGCGTGACAGGTGTCGAAGTCCCGTCGTTCACACGTGCTAGTCCTGCCGAAGTCCCTTTGTCTTGCAACGTTCGTCACCACCATTCCAGCGCAGGTCCTCCTAACAATGATACTGCGAAATTAATGCGGGTGGCACTGTCAATAATCATAGCAGCATTGAAAAACACCTCCACGCCGAACAACCATGCAGAAACAGTGAAGAACTTGTCACTCGGGTGAAACGGGGGCGGGTTTGTCGGCTTGATATTGACAGTTGTCGAAGCCGTTATTGCTGCTTGGACTATTGGCGCTGCTGCTGTCGTCGGCGGAGTTGTCGCTGCTGCACGTGTCGGCGCTGCACGCGACTGTTGCGGTGACTTTTGTTGCTGTGCCCCCCTCGCATCTTCCGCATCCATGGAGCCTTCCAGCTTTCTCCAGACCTGCTCATCTGGCGTGGAGCTGCTACTTGCGTCCTCGACGACAGACGACTCCTGACGTGCTTCACCACGCGCCAGGTGTAGTTCGGCGTTTTCCTAACCCAGACGTTCCACCTGTGCAGTCATGGTAAGCAAGTTCGCTTGCATCGCTCGGAACTGTTTCATGAACTCGTTGATCTCGGCCTGCTCCATGTGCCTCAGGCTTTGCCTAACGGGCAGGGGGTGGCTAGCAATTTTTCTGACTTCGGTAAAGGCGTAAACACTATCGTAGTCGGAGTGAAATAATAGTGTCTATTTCACAGGCCGACCGCTTTACAGCCCACCAAGTCTATCGCATACAAACCTGGAAACGCGAGGGTAACCTAGGAAAGTAGCTCTGATACCAGGTGTTATGATTTGTGAAAGAGAAGAGTGGGCAGAATTCAATACCGCATCGCCCGGATAGTAGACAGTGTTGAATAGTAGATAGGGGTTGTCTATTATTCGAGTGTCTCTTATAAACAGGCTAGCCTTTTTATACGACACCTATTTGTGTGTACGAGATAAGACATATATGCCTTATAATCAGAACCGGGGTTTAGGGATTTTCTTATGAACAGGGGGTGTCATCTAAACGATCCTTGCTTACTGTAAGGGGGTACATGCATACATTCATGAATCTCTACTTCTACATAACCCCCCTCAGTCACCGCCTCCCCACCTGCACTAACAGCAGGCTCTCTAACACCCAGGTCTGGCACTCGCCAGGCATGCCTAGCCGTCTCCCTAGGCTCGATCATGCGGTCAGCCTCGGCCGCCGCTCCACGGTAATTGGGGGTCTCCTGGTACAGCACCTCCAGGTCGGTTGCCACGGCCACCTCCCTCACGCCCTCTGCCTGCATCTCCTCCTCCTCCTCCTCCTCCTCCTCCTCCTCCTCCTCCTCCTCCTCCTCCTCCTCCTCCTCCTCCTCCTCCTCCTCCTCCTCCTCCTCCTCCTCCTTTGGAGCCTGCCCAAGCAGGCGCGTGTTGTCGCCCGTAGTCCCCCAGAGGCACATGTCCTCGGAGACATCGGTGGTGCTCCTAGCGCGTAGGTGAGACATCACCAGGTGGTTCTCCGTTCCGTCCAGCTTGCTTGAAATCCCACAGTGGCGGAACGCGTCGATGATGACCTGCTTGGGGACTTGATCCCAAGCCTCCGCGATCCACTGCAGCACCACGGGGTGCGGAGGCCTCCGCAGGTTCTCTGCGGGTGGGACAGAGGCAGGGGCAGCGAGACCTTAGAGACATGGACAGGAAACAAAGCAGAAATTTAGTTAGAAAGGTTACTCACCCTTCTTCGTTTTGAGGTGAATCCCTTTACTCATGAACCACCTGGCGTAGCGCGCTCGCACGGCAGCCTTGAAGCACCGGTTGATGGAGACGTCCAGGGGTTGAATCTGGCTCGTACAACTCGCTAGGATCACTGCAGGGGTGATGCTGTGCATGCGGTATGATTGAAGAATGCTCTGGGTGATGTGGCCTCGGTATTAGTCCAACACCAGCATCGCATGCCTCACGTTCTGGCCGCGCGGGGTGTTGAAATGGGGCAGCACCTCCTTGGTCAGCCAGGTCTGTACAGCACTCTCGTCCATCCATCCGCTGTCCTGTGCTTGGACCATGATTCCTGCCAGGCACATAGGGGACAGACGGGCATCACCACAGTGAGGCAAGCTCATCAGGCATTCGGCTTTTGAATTCCTTGAGCTTACGTTCCGGAATCTCTTAGTTGGGCACGTTCTTCAGCCTGAACCACACCCATGGCTGCAGCTTCTCCCCGGATGCGGTGCACGCGTGCATCACCATCAGCCTCGCCTTCTGGTATCCTGCAGTGTGGATTGGGACCGAGCGCATGCCACGGTGCTCATCGTCCTCTCGGCCGGCATCTCCACAAATAGTGGCGTTTGGTCCGCGTTGATGATGCGGGCCAGGTCAATGTTGTGCCGCGCCCTGTTGATGCGCACGAACTTCCAAAATGACATGCAGTCCTTTGCACACTCTGCAAAAGGAGGGGCTGGTTAAAGCAGAAGGGCGAGGAACATGCAGTCACGAATCGGCTGCGCGAATTCAATCCCTATACAACTTACCTGCCGATTACCGTTGGCCGACCTTGGTCTTGACACGCATGACAAGGTTCCAGCGGTCACGGAAACGCTGGCTCCAGTGAGAGCCCGCATTCCAGTTCTTGCCGGGGTGGTGTTTCTTCATCCACTCGCAGCTCCACTTCTGGGTGTCTTTCACCGAGATCGCCACCCCATTCGCGCGCTGCAGGCAGATGTAGCGGTATATAGTGTACGTGGTGCCCCCCCCTGTGCATCCGCTTGCGCCAGGTCGTCGCTCCCTTGTAGAGGCCCGCAGCAGCCTCCGCACTCCAACGTCTGATGCAGGCGATGGATGCTGTAGATTCCGCGGATGTCTTCTTCAGGGAGCCTAGCTCTTGGTAGCGGCACGCCCACTTGAGTTTCTCGCGTACGGTCCATCCGTGTCTCCACTTCTTACGGTCCTTGCTGCGAGGGGAAGGTGGACGGGAATCGGGATTATGAAGGTTGGGGTCTTTCGGCATCTCCTTCTCAGGGAATGAAGGAATCGGGCCAGCAGCCTCCTCATATTCAGCCTCGCTGCCAAGCGCCTCGTTGACGACGATGTCGTCCTTGTTTACCGCTTTCTTCTTCTTCTTCTTCTTCTTCTTCTTCTTCTTCTTCTTCTTCTTCTTCTTCTTCTTCTTCTTCTTCTTCTTCTTCTTCTTCTTCTTCTTCTTCTTCTTCTTCTTCTTCTTCTTCTTCTTCTTCTTCTTCTTCTTCTTCAGTTGTTTTCGAGTGCTCACACTGCTTGCTAGTTCACTGGGGAATTTGGCAAGAGTTCCACTAGCAAAGGTTCACAACAAACGTTCAGAATAATTGAATCAACATTGGCAACACTGACTACATCAGAGCTAGCACTACTGCTGGTCGACTGCCAGCACAGCACGGTCGACCGCGTGCCAGCACGACTTGGTCGACCGCGCTCCAGCAGTGCACAGATGCGGCTTGCCAACATTGCAGGTATGCGGCGTGCCAATGCTGCACTAAGTTGGCTGCACAGCGTTGCACCCGCAGGACAACAGTGCACCTGCTTTGCAGGTGCATGCAGCTGGTTGGCGCACCACTCCCCGTCACGTGCATAGCGCAGACGCCCAGATTGAGTCCACGCCAGCGACTGCGCCCACCAGCCACGTCGACCTCGGGATACCACTTCCGAGGTCGGTTTCGCAGCACCACCCCGGCGACCCTCGCACACTTCTGCAGAAGCTCCGTCGCTCGGGTAACGCGGTTGACCGGGCAACTAGGATGATGCCGTCTGGCCGGCGTCCTCCCTGGTCGGCGTCCACGTGTCGACCACTTCGGGACTAGGCCACCGATGTCGCCAAGTCATCGACCCAACGCCGGCGCCCTGCAGTTCGACGCCCGGCGGCTCGGCGTCCTGCTATTCGACGCCCTTCAGCCCGGCGTCCCCAAACTCCCCTGTCGAGGTTGGCATCGACTTCCCTCCTTCATCGACCACCAGGTTAGGTCGACCGCCTGGTCGACCACCCCAAAACCAGCGTCCCCAAAGTCGGCGCCCATGCAGTGGCTCCCCGTGCAGGTCGACCAACCTCGTCGACCAGCTCGCCCACTGCTCCAGGTCGGCTGCACTCCCCCATACACCCGACCATGAGGTTGGCTCCGCCCAAGCGAGGATGGGGCCTAACACAACTCCCGTTGACACCCGCCTTGCGCGCATTCTTCGCCATGGCTACACGGATGTCATCTCGAGCGAGTTGATTCGCCCGTGATTATTCACCCGCACATGAGGGCAAGGTGAGGACGTGCCTACAGGGACTTTGCTGCGCATGGTTAAGCCTGCCGAGAGCAAAGGTTGAGATCTCAACCTCCTTGAGCACCAAATTATGCTCAATGCTGAGTATTCCCCCCAGCCAGAGTGCCCCTTCCAAAGGTGACGATCCGCTCCTCTATGAGCCTCATAGAGGACAGCCCTCAGCTTGCCATCGTGCTGCCAACAACGTTCTGGAAGCATCCATGCACTGCGGGCAGCAAAACGACGCTGGCAGCATCTAATGATGCTGCCAGCACGGAGGAATCTTGCGAGGCAGCTTTGATGCATCCCTCACGTGGCAAGCGGGGGCGCTGCATGCATCACCACCGAGATCGTTCTGTTTCAATGAATCTGGCCCCCGGGTTGTTTCTACAGACTTTGCAAATGTTACACAGTAGTTATATTCTTTTCCATTTTTAGGACTTATAAGACACCCTAAACCGTCCCAAGTACAAGATAACCCAAACATTTTTTGCCCGTGTACGAGATAAGACATATATGCCTCCTATCCGGGCGATGACGGTAACGCGGAAGTGATTAAAACGTTGAGCAAATAATGACGCCTAGGCGAAGGTCGCGGGGTCGCGAGATGGTTGGGTGCAGGTTTGGGGTTGGACAACCCGAAGGCGACGCGATGTTGGTACGAAAGGCAAGGCCGTCGGGTCGAGCCTAGGTTTCCGAAAACCGGGGTTGTACGCGTACAGTGTGACCCAGTAAGGAATCTGAGAAGATTCCTTACATCACCCATTTGAAAAAAAAACACGACTGCAGTATTTCGGCGCTGATCCCCCGCTTCATAAGTTGCAGAACATCCGCGATGGAGGTGTGGCGAGAGCATTCTGCTCTTTGGCATCAAACGAAACACTCAACTTGTAGCTGAGATATTGCAGTTTCCAGATTCTCAGAAATTGCCCAAAAGAACGTCCATTTACTAAATGCTACACATGAACATCTCATCAATGTAATAGAAAATGACACCATCCATATACATTTATAACCGCTTATATTTGCGCTATTCTTCCCAACCACAAAAAAATGACCACCTTACATCCTCATACTCACAAATGTCCTACTAGCTCCTATGTCTGAGCCTTTGAATCCTCCTCTTCAAGAAGTTTGCCACCTTATTTGCAAGGGTCACCTTCTCAGAAACAAACTGGCCATGGGCAGCACCATCCGAATAACTAGACGTTGCAAAGAGCCCATAGTGACCATCCGGAGCAGCTATCATGGTATCCACCACCTGCTTGTTTGTATCCCCATTAGCAGCAGTACTGGCACCTGCATTATAACAAATCCCCGTAAATGCATGTATGTAACCGACAACACCAGGATCCATCGGTGGAAACCTCTAGGATTGAGAGGTACCCAGGCCGCAGAGAATAAAGGAGATAAGAAGCATTGAGAAGCATGATCAGGTGAAATAGCGACGGGTGGCCCCATGCGACCCTGGCTCCAAATAAGCAACCACGCAAACGTCATATTGTGCGCGTGCCTCGTGATAGTAATTAAAAAATCCAAGGGCGCAGGGGAGTGCGAGTGAAAATGCGGGAGAGGGTGAGAAGGAGAGTGCAAGAGCGAGTGCCAGAGCGAGTGCGAGGGCGAGTTTGAGTGCGAGCGCGAGTGAGAGTGTGGGTGAGAGGCGGGTGAGAGTGCGACTGCGAGTGCGAGAGCGAGTGCGAGGACCGAGTGCTAGTGACAGAATGATTGAACAAGCAATGACAGAATGACTACATCAGGCACCTAGCAACTCTGCAGCTAGCCTGGTCGACTGCCAGCACTGCATGGTCGACCGCGTGCCAGCGTTGCGTAGAGGAGCCGCGCCAGTACTGCATGTCAGAATGTTGTATTTGTCTAGCCTGCAGTGGGGTACTCTATAGCGAGTACAGCCCAATCTAGGGTTCCTATATGTACTCAACTGCTTGCTAGTGCAACTCCTCTTTCTGCCTCTAAACTTTCTACTACCTATCTTGACATGCTATCAGAGCAGGTCGACCCCCTTGGGTCGATCCTGTGGGTGGGCCCACCACCTAATGCTTCCGCTGCTGTACTCTGTGTCGCGCGCCCCGTGGCGCGCGACGGATTTTTCTTCCCGCCACGCGCTCGTGCGCACGGCGGTTTTCTGCTCGCCGTGCGCACGGAGCGCGCGGCGGTTTCCTGCCCGCCGTGCGCCCCGGGGCGCGCGGCGGTTTCCCCCCGTCATCCCCACCGTCGCCTGCTTCAGCCCACCCGTCGCCTGCAGCAGACCCCCCCGTCGCCCCCGCTGCCTCGCAGCGGCGCCCTGGAAGCGCGCGCGACGCCTGCTGCCCCGTCGCGGCGCCCTGGGGAGCTGCGCGCGACCCCGCAGCCACGTCGCGGCGCCCTGGGGAGCCGCACGCGACCCCGCAGCCCCGTCGCGGCGCCCTGGGGAGCCGCGCGCGACCCCGCAGCCACGTCGCGGCACTCTGGGGAGCCGCGCGCGACCCCCCGCTGCCCCGTCGTGGCGCCCTGGGGGGCTGCGCGCGGCCCCTCGCTGCCCCATGGTGGCGCCCTGGGGGCCGCGCGCCTTCCCCCTCGCCGTCCCCCGCGCTCCTACCCCGTTCCGCCCGTTTTAGGGTTTGGGGGTGGGGAGTGTGGGGGTGGCGGTTGTGGGGGTGCCGGTTGAGTACCCCGTCCCCTACTCCTCCTCCTCCTCCGTCTCCCGCTGCTGCAGCTGCCGCTCAGGGGGGTGGGTGTGTGGGAGCCGAAGGAGTGGTGCTAGGGGGGTGACGTGGGAGTGGAGCTAGGGTTCCAGCAGGGGGTGTGTGAGAGGGGGGTGGGACAGTCGGGGGAGGTTGAGCGGAGGCTGCCGTCTTGTCGTCAGCAGCATTTGTAGTCCGGGGCGCTTGTTCCGGTAGCCCAGTCGTAGCCAGCTGTGCCAGTCGCCCGTGGGTCCGTTGCTCGTCTGCCGCTCTTCTTAGCCGCGGAGCCAGTTACTCCTGTAGTCCGGGGCGCTTGTTCCGGTAGCCACTGTGCCAGTATGACTCCTGTTGCCCGTGTGTCTGCAGCTTCAGCCGACGCCTCTTATCTCCTCTCCACCTACAGTCTCGCCTCCTCCTCCTCACTTGCCCTTTGTGAATGCCTCTAGCTTTGCATGCACTTGTGAATCTGCTCTATGACTGCTTACTCTCCTGATTATACCCCACTTTGACTATGGGGGTGTGTCAGAATGTTGTATTTTTCTAGCCTGCAGTGGGGTACTCTATAGCGAGTACAGCCCAATCTAGGGTTCCTATATGTACTCAACTGCTTGCTAGTGCAACTCCTCTTTCTGCCTCTAAACTTTCTACAACCTATCTTGACACTGCAGAAGGGCGACCTGCCAGCAGAGCAGGTCGACGGCGTGCCAACGTCGCAGCAGGGCAGCTGTCCAGCGTTGTCCCGCAGAAGACAATAGTGCGCACGCTTGCAGGTGCGCGCAGACGATTGGCCCGACTTGCATTGCTGTGCATCCGTCGGCTGTCGTCTGTGCCTGATGAGCCACATCGACTTCGGGATACCCTCCCAAAGTCGCCTTCGTCATTGCGACCTCGACGACGTTCGCGTGCCTCCACAGAACTCGTCGAGCAGGTTTCCCGGTCGACCTGGTCAACCACCGAGTGCTCTGGTCGACCACCAAGTGCTTCTGGTCGACCACGGCTCCTTCCCGTCGAGCTACCCCCTGGTCGACGGACCCCTTCCGTCGACCAGAATTGTCAGCTGTTGTCGCCGAGCTCCCCTAGTCGACCGCTGCTGACTTGTCTGGCACTCCTGGTCGACGGCCCACCCATTGCCCAGCCCAGTCAGCTGCGCCCGTCGAGCACCCCTGGTCGACGGAAATCCCACGTGACACCCTGCAGCTCGACGAAGCCCGTCGAGCAGCTCCCTCACTGTGAACGGTCGGCTGCTTCTCCCGTACATCCGGCCAAGTAGTCGGCGTTGCCCAAGCGAGGGCGGGGCCAACACTCCCATTATCACTCCCCTATCGCGCTCACGCTTGGGCCTCCAGCCCACACGGCAGTACTCCACAAAGAAAACTCGTCCTCTGCTGTCACCCACACACATCACGCCGTCATCGCACCAGCCGTGCAGAAGGGCTCGGCACCTGCTGCTACATATCATCGTCGTCGCCGTCGCCGACGTCGGCCAGACGAACTTGGCCGATGGCGACAGAGCACCGGTTGAAAGCCGGAAAATGCAGCGCCTTCGTCAGGAAGTCTGCTGGCTGCTCGGTGGTCGGGATATACTTCAGCACGAACTTCCCGTGCCTCACCATGTGCTGCAGCCAGGCGTAGCGTCGCTCCATGTGCTTGAGTTTGCCCGTCAGTCCCAAGCCTTCAGCAGCTGTGATCACCGACTTGTTGTTCACGAGGAGGACAGTTGGCTTTCCAGGGTCGAGCAACTTAAACTCTGCAAGGAGGAAGCGAAGTCGACGCCCCTCCTTGCCGGCGTCCGTGGCCGCGACGTACTCCGACTCGGTCGAGGAGAGCGTCACGCACTTGATGCGCTGGCTCGACCAGGAGACCGCGGCCCCTCCGTAGACGAACACGTAGCCACCCGTGCTCGTCCACTTCTGCTTGTCGCCGGCGTCGTCGGCGTCCACATAGCCGATCAGCTTTAGCGACTCTGGTCCACCGCCGAACTCCAGGGCGGTGTCGCGGGTGTCAGCGAGGTAGGCGAGGCAGCGGTCGACCTCACCCCAATGCTGGTTGCTTCTCACCGTGAGGCCACTCCCCAGCTTGCTGCAGGCGAACGCGATGTTCGGCCTCGCCGTCGTTGCCGCAAACTGCAGCGAGCTGACCTTCTGCCGGTACTCCTCCTCCTCGCGCTCCTGGGCCTCCTCGTCGTCGAACGTCAGCTCAGCGTAGGCGTCGACCGAGACCGGCGTCTTCGGGACTCGACTGCCCTGCTCCTCGTCGATGAAGTGCCTGTGTAGCTTGTTGACGTAGTTCTGCTGGTGCAGCCACAGCTTCCTGGCTGGCCTATCACGTACGATCTCCAGCCCGAGGTACTTGACGACCGGCGAAATCTCGTGCAACTTGAAGGCAGCCTCCAGTAGCTCCTTCAGCTCCTTCAGCATCGCGGTGCTGCTGCTGGCAGCGAGCAGGTCGTCGACGTAGACCAGCACCCAGCAAGTCACTCCGTCGTCGCCGGTCTTGAAGTAGAGTGCCTCATCGACTTGGCTCTTCTTCCAACCAGCCCCCAGCAAGACGCCGTCGAGAGCTCTGTACCACAGCAGCGGCGACTGCTTCAGCCTGTAGAGGCTCTTCAGCAGCTTACACATCCAGCCGGTCCCATCGTCGAAGTAGTCCGGCTTGTACATG